CCCGCCCCCACTGGCCTGGCGCCGGCCGCTGCCACCTCCCAGCGGAGGGGAGGGACCCGCGGCCGCACTCCCCTCCCTGGATCGGGGAGCCGCTGTCTGTCCCCACCTGCTTCTGCTCGGCAGCCTCCGAGTTGTCTCTAACTCTGCGGCTACCCGATCCCCGAGTGTCGGCCACTGCGGGCCCCCTGCGGAACTCCTTTCCACTTACCCCAAGGGAGGAGACAGAAAGAACTTCGCCTACTTGCAACAACGTAAAATAAAAACCACCCCACGCCAGACTGGGGAGCTTTCTCTAAAGAGAGGAAATACCCCTTTCCGTGAAGATGTATGAGAGGCACGGGTAAGCAGTATGGGGAGAGACTGTGCTGGGGAGGGCCTGGGCCCCTTCCAGCGCTGGGCACAGGTATAGGCATCCCGCCCAGATGCCCAAAGGTCATGCTGCGACGACTGACTTCCAAGACAGCGTCAGAGCTTCCCCAGGCACATTGCTGAAGTGACATTTCATGCGTAAGCCTTCTGCGCATGCATTATGCACCCACATAGGATTTAATATTCTGTATGCACACAAGTATACACAAGCAGAAGCCTCAGAGAAGTAGGCAATAAACAATACATAAATTTTGCATCCACTTAATCACCTCTTAGTAAAACCTACTGCCTGTGTTGGGAACATCTTCAATTGTCACATTGATTATAAGTGTTTTAATTTATTGAGAATTCACTGATTTTTGTCAGTGATTACACTGGTCACTTATGGTACGTGTGAGTTCATTTAATTTTCACAACTCTATGGTGCGTATTTAATGCCGTATAAGAAATAAGAAAAACGAGGCCCAAAGAAACCTAAGTAAATGTTCCCAAAGATAAATCCAGTGGTCTCTAAACACAAAGCCTATGATTCATCAAGCAGCCCCCTACACTGCCTTAGATGTGGCCTGAAGGCGTACAAATTAACTAGTAGAAATTACTATCAAAGAAAATTTAGTTTTAATATATTATCAACTGAATTGTATTCTGTACGAAGCTCAGAAAAAAAATTCACCCTCTACTTCATCTTGGTCTTATGTAACTGACAGGAACACTAAATTCAAAAGCAAAAACAAATATTGAATACTTGTAGTTTTGACTTATTTTTAAATTAGTGGGACATTATCCACAATTATTAACAGGCAATGGAAAAGGTCAGGTTGTAAATTTCAATTGATAAACGTGCTTATTGCTGCTCTCATCACTCACTGGGCGTTCTTTCCTGCGGATTTATTTTGGAGGGCTTAGGCACTGCCAGGCTTAATGTTTCCTTTTCTGGTCTCAAGGTAGAAAGGGTTTTGGCGGTGGGTTTGGCACAAAGAGGAATTGGAGCATGATCTAGAGCACATTCTGGCCTGAAGAGGATGCCAGTTAATATACACTGAGGAGGGAAATATCAATGGACAGGTTTAACTAACTTTGCAGATCTTGTTTTCCCCATTGTACAGGTGAGAAAACTAAGGGTGCAGAATTTTTAGCAACTTGTTAATAAATGGCAGACCTAAGATTCAACAGCCTCTGTGTAACCCCAAAGACCACTCAGCCATGGTCATGCTATTATTAGTGGTAGTAGGGAGAAAAAATGCGATTATTTTTAGTACAGTTTCTATGTTACAGGCAAAATATGCAGTTTAAATGTTTTGTGAATCATTCACTGTCTGGAATGTTCAGTGGCTGTAGTAATTAACATGTAAAAATTTAGTACAATGCTAAATGTAATACTCTCCTCATAAGGCCACAGATTTTTAACTTTCATTTTGGTATGAAACATTATGGTGTTAATTGGACCTCTAACATAAAAGTGTGAAGATGCATAATTTGGATAAAATAAAAATTCTTGCTTTAGTACAGCATACTGTTGACACAAGGATAGTCTTTTAGCATGTTTCTTTACTCCCTTCTAAAATCATATTTTCAGCAATACCGATCTTGCTTTCAAGTTACTTTCCTCCCACATAATTTTTACACATCTACGTAAGAATGTTTGCAGAAGTTATCCTAAAAAAATCAGAATTACATCACAATACTAGTTATTCAATTTCTCATTATTACTTTCAAATCCATCCACATAGTCTATTACATAGATAACACTAGGAGTGATATAAAATGTCACATTAACAGTCCAACTTTGAAATAAATTGAGCATAAGAAACAAAAAAGGTTGTATAGGCAATAATGTGCTGCTTTTTTAGACAAGGCATTATTTCCAGCATTTCTACTGAATACCACTTTTATAATTATTTCCATATTACCTGTAGTATTATTGACTTAATATTTTTTCTAAATAAGCAATTTTTATTAAGTAAACTTATCTAATAAAGGAAACTTTCTATCATCACTATAAATGGAAAACCAGTATAATTTGCCATGAATAGATGACCTTGCAGATGAATCTTTTTTACAGAAATTATTTATCCTGTACCACCCAAAATTCTCTCACGTATCAGTCTGAGAAACACTGGTTTAAAGAATTAAACTCCTTATGTCCCTTAGGCTCTCCAAAACATTCTCAAACCTTTTCTGTGACTGTAGAGAAATGTTTAGTTCAAAATTTTTTAAATTTAAAATTATTAGTCAATTATTGATTTCTTTGCCTAAAATATACTTGAAGTATCTGAAATTGAGGTATCTTTTTAAATTAATTTAATTTTTTTAAGACAAACATTACAATTTTGAGGTGGGGGGAGGCGGGGGTATCAGGTTTATCACCTATTTATTTATTTATTAATGTAGGTACTGGGGATTGAACCCAGGACCTCATGCATGCTGTGCAAGCACTCTACCACTGAGCTGTATCCTTCCCCTAATTAACTTAATTTTTATTATTCTTCTTACTATCTTCCTTGTGGTAAAAATTCGAACACTTCATCAGTCCACAGTTAAAAGCCAAATTACTCTCATGGGAGACAATAGCAGTTACTCATTACCCACCACTTCCTGCCTCAACAAACACTGAGTCTTAGGACTTAACCACTGAGATAGAAACTTTCCAACTGCTAACATCACGAAGTGGCAGCATCTATTGGCTCAATCTGGTACTGCAACAAAGTTCTACAAGGCAATGAAAAGGAAAACGCAGATCAATGGGGAGAGACGCTCAAAGAGCCTGAAAAGACATTTAGGGAAGGAAAATTCTGAAGTCCGAAATCTGCTGGAAAATTCTGGAAGTCATTCAGAAACGCCAGCAGGTCCTACATGCCAAGAATCAGGCCATCATAATGTCCATAAGGTCCTGGGTTCAATCCTTAGTACTTCCTCCTAAATAAATAAATAAATAAATAAACCTAATTACCTCCCTCCCACAACCAAATATAAAGAATATCCATAAATGTTCGACTTCATTTGAGAAAGGCCATTTGTTGTGGGAGAAGAAAAAAAGGTGACTTAATAGCAAAAATCAGTGGAAATAAAAGATTCACTTATTAGCTATTAGCGACTCCTTTAACCAACTCCTCTGGGGCGGGCTGCTCCTGCAGTTATCGTGGGCTGTTTTTTATTTTTAAAGTGTGCTTGCCACTATTTTGGCATTGGGTTTTTTGTTTAAGCCTGATTAAACAAACAAAGCCCTCTAAGAGCTCACAATCCGAAACTTCCAATTTTTATTGTATTTTAAAGTAACCTTAAAGGAAAACCGTTCCATCGGTAGTAAGAACAAACTTTAGGCTAAAAACTGGAGTAAATGTTACCAAATTCAAGTTCGTGTGCCCAGTGCAGTGAGGCCAAACAAACTGAAACGCTGGAGTTTGGAGCAGAGAAAGGTTTCCTGCAGGGCCAGGAAAGGAGAAACGGCAGAGGAGGGGGGCTGGTGCTCAAAAAAGCTGAGCCCCACTGTTACGGAAACGACAGGCCAGTCAAGAAACAAGCACCACTCGGAGGGTTGGAGTACTCAGATGTATTACGCTGGCGGGCTCAGAGGGGCTTCTGCTCCGAAGCTCTGAGCACCTCCAAGATGTGCGCATGAGGTTTTATAGGGTAAAGTACAAGCTTTGGGTATTAGGCCAATAGGCATGGAACAGCTTTAGCAGCATTATCATCACTAAAGTGGAGGCA